AGAAAAGAAAATAATATTTTAAAATATGAAGAGTTTTACACTCTATTTCAAATCTGAACCCTACTAAGAATTCAATTCATCAGCCAAAGCAGTAGCATTGCATCAGCATGGGCAATTATTTCAACCAAGAACATTAGTAGCTAAGTTTTTCAAATGTCAAAGCAGTATATTTTTAGCAAAACTCTGTATTTAATTCAGCAAATAATAATATGCAAGATCTTGACTATATAAAGAATTGCTCTTCCTTTGTAAGTCTACATCATGCATTATGAGCAAGCAGAAAGCAAAATCTATCTAGGCAAAATTAGTGTGAGAACATAGTTATCAGAAAAAGTATATGAAATAATATTCTTTAGATCATATTTGCTAATCTGAAAGCAAATGCCATGTGTGAAGAAAAAAGGTTTTCTTTCATTTTAAAAAGGCTTCAGTAGAGAAAGTTTTTTATGATACAGATGAGATCACAATAAGACAATAAAATTCTAAAAAAATTAAGTGCCAGAGGAAAAGTAATACAATATTTTAAAATGTGCTAGAAAATTAGGTTTTCTTTTTGACCTCAATATATTTATAGTACTGTTTCTATAGTTTCCAAATGGCTTTTTATAATTATTAATATCCTCTAAATATGATAAATGATAATATTACAATTTGGAATAGCATATTCATTAGTAAAATTCTAAAATAATTTTTATCAAGTACTCAATGCTCATATTTTAACTACCTTAAAAATACATATATTCCTTGGGAACTTTTCATTTTAAGATATTAAACATGTTTACAAGGTATTATATATTATGGAGAGAAAATATATGTAAATATACATGGTTTTTAATTATTCAGGATGTAGGTTAAAGATATATCATTTCATTAATCTATGCTCATGCAGAAACTGTCAAATGTAAATAAAGCATATGCATTAATTTTATACATATTTTGCAAGCTTATATTAAGATTAAGTAAGTATGAAATGTATGGGGAAAAAGGCAGCATTTGTCTAATTTCTTTTGAACCACAGGAAAAAAATGACTAGCACAGTCAATTTTTAAAAAGTTTTAGGTTATGATTCAATTTTAATGTTAGCAATATATGACAAGTGTCCTTTAGGAGCAAAATAATTCAAATAATAAATTGATATACAAAGGCTGCTGGAAATTAAGAAGAGAAAACATTTGAAAACCTTGTCAAACAGTACCGTGACACTTATCCCCAAGCTGTTATCATTTTTAGTCAGTTCAACCTCAAAGATATCTCCAGGTTTAGGAGGTGATGAAGAAAAAGTTTTAAAATTCATTTTGTTGCATGTATTCATTGAGGAGGAAGGTTCCTTAACAAAGAAAAACAAACAAACAAAAAAAAGGATTTCTAGTTAGAGTCAAAATGAATTATTACTAGAAGACAAACATACGTTTTTTGGAAAAATTAAGAAAAAGCAAGATATTAATGATAGTGTTGACAAAGATAAGACTTGAGAGAGATCTTAGAGATCATCTAGTCTAATGAATTCATTGATTCAAGATTAAAGGACTTGCTTCAGGTTAAACAGCTAAATACAACAGAGAAAAACCTAAATAGAACCCGCTTTGAACCTGGCTTTTACATAATCCCCACTAAGTGCTTTTTATATTTCCAAATTTACAAAATATTTTCATTTTCTTCAAAAATATATATTAAGTCATGGTTTTAAACTTGAGTCTCTAAAATGAGTAGGCTTCATGTTTTCTTTGCTTATATTTACAAATCCAATGTAAACACTGAAATGATACCTAAGCCTTATATATAAGGGCACAACCTTCTTTCAAGGAATGTTGATTTTTCAGTGGAAAAAAAGGCATTAGGTTTTTTCTAAAACTGCTGGTGAATGTGATTTTAAATTTATACCATTTTTAGGAATGAACGATTTTCAATGTTGTTGTTAACACCTATTCAGAACTCCAGAAGAATTTAGGCTATGCATAGTAAGTTTCCAGGAACAATTTTTTCAGATATTAAAGTTCTTGTATTAATATAAACATTAAATATATAAGACACGAACAACTTGTAAGAAAATCATAATCTGAATATTCTGTCCTTTGTGTTATTAGGTAGTAAGTTCGCAGAGTAACAGCCATTTTTGAGTTAGTATTCAAAGCTTTTAATTACTTTGAAACATAGCATCAAATGCAGTAGCAGTTAGTAGCAGAAGATATAGACTATTTCTCCTTTCCAGAATAATATAAGAAGCTTGTAGTAGATTATTCTGCTCTGTAATATATTTGCTGCTGTTTGCTTTATTATTTAACAAAGCAAAAAAACCCTCAAAAGATTAAAATTAAACTATGCCTTTTTTGGTGTTTGATGATCCTGGCTGCTGGAATAAGTGGCTTCATCCATGTCTGACTCTCCATGGTCAGAGCAATCTGTTGCATCTGAAATGGCTGGCTTTTTAGCTTTGCTTTGGTTACTGTCAGTGGAAATCCTCTTTTTCTCAATGCCTTTGGGTATTACAGATGAGGAAGAGCTGACATGCTGTGATTCTTGCCAGGTTTGGTCACCTAAATGGCTGGCAAAGAAACCATTGACCTGGCTCTGGGACAAGCTGGCACTCTCAGTCCTGGAATCTTGAGAACTCAGGCTTCCTTCCCGCAGGCCCCCAGACAGTCCAAAGGAGCCCTCTGAGATGTGCCTCAGAGTACTACGTGGCCAGTGGTGATCCTCAGAAGAAGAATCTATAGCACCATCTTGCATGTAGGAAGGTTTCTTTAGGTAGTTTTTCATCCCATTGGCAAGATGTACAGGAGTAGAAGGCACTAAAGTCAAAATCCATCAGTGAAAACAAGAAGTTAGTGACATACATGCTTGTGCTTATACACGTACACAATGTTCCCTAAAGATTGTTGGGAGGATTTTACAAGGATAATACATGCAAAACACCTGAATAGGGTCCGGAACCACTGTGCGGACTCACTAAATAGTAGATTCTTGCTATTTCCTTCACTCTCTCCTTTTGTCATTCTTATCAAAACTTCTGTTGAATTGTTTTTGCCCTAACTCCCCATTTCCATTTTCTAGGACCCATTTCAAACTAGTTTCCTCTGTGCAGAATTTCCTGGTTCCAGATATAATTTACAGTTTTTTATTTTTTATTTTTGAGTCTCCAACATCCTTGGTCCTTACTAAACAGTTATTTGTACACTTGGTTTACATTGCCCTACCAGACTGCATTTTTCCAAGTAATTACTAGAGAAAGCAACTCCAAATTCCTTATATATCGCTCTTATCAAAAGCCATTTAAGAAAGCTTTATAAAGTAAGACACAAACCACAGGAGACATGTGGGAAAGAATGAGAGATGTAAATGTGAATTTATAAGAAATTAAGTTTTATGTAGCAAGCGACATCAAGTAAAAAATTAAAAGAGTAATAAGCAACTGGAGAGAAAATATTTGTAACAACAAAAAAATAATCAAGAGTTAGCATCCCTAATATACAAAGAGGTTCTAAAATTCAATAAGAGAGATTTTAAAAACTCCTATGGAATAAGGTATGATATGTGAACTGGATATTTGGAATAAAATACAAAAAACTAATAAATATATTAAAAGACATTCTCATTATTGCTCAGAGATATGCAATTTAATGCAGTTTTGTACCTATTTGGTTGACAAAAATGAGAATGACTGATAATTTTCAGTACCTCTGATGGTGTGAGAGGAGCACTGTAATAGCTACTTAGACTATAAATTGATAAAGCTTTTGTAGGGCAATTTGGTGGCACTTGTCAAAACTTCAGTGTACATATTCTGTACTCTAGTTCTAGGTATCTAACTTCTAGAAATATATATACTTTCAATGGTGTATAAACAACTGTATTTGCTGGAGCAGTATTCATAATAGAATTATACCTAACCTGGATGCATAACAATAGAAGAAAAGTTAAGTAAATTTTGATATGTCTATAACATGAATATAATGCCACATTGAAAAGATATGAATGATCATGGTTGTCCAGATATATGGAATAAGTTACAGAATAATATGTAGAGTATAAAATAAATTGTTTATTCTAAAAAATAGTGTTTATATTGTTTTATGTATGTATATCACACATACATGAATATGTGGTATTTCACATATATTTCTACAATACACAGAAGGCTACATATACGCTAAATAATTTTCCTAGGAAATGGCGTAATTTATTTCTTAGTTCATAGGTTTTCAATAAATTGGATTTATTCTAATAAGCTAATATGCATACTGTAACTTTAAAGAAATTAGCAAAAAAAAGGAAAATAAGGAACTTCCTTTTGTTGGTAGATAATTGGGAGGGATGGCCTGGGGTGCACAGCGGTAATCTCCCAGGTTCTTTAAATTTTACTTCTTTTCAAATGACACTACAGAATAGCTATACGCCATGATAAAATTAATTTACCTTTCTGAAGAAACAATTTCACAGAACTACACTTGGACATTATGCTTTTAATTTTTATTGAGAATGGACAGTAAAAAAATTACCATACAAAACTCTGCTGAGAAGAAAAGCCCTCTCTGCTCCTCATACTAGGTAAAGTTCCTCTGTTACATGCTCTCTTGGCACCCTGACTTCTTGCTAACACTTATCATAGCTATAATTAAACATTTATTTGTCTAGTTAGTTGTTCAATACTTGTCTCCTTGATAAAGGGGTCAAGTAAATTCCATGAGGGCAGAGGTCTTGCATCTTGTACAACTCAATATTTGTTGAACAAATGAATGAATAACACATCTGTTGAAAATACAACTAACATAGAAATCCCCTTAGAGCCTTATTCAGAGGGAAATACATTTATTTGGAATCCATATGCTTATTTTCTAAAATAATGGTGAATAATGGAACCCAATGTGCTCCTTTTTAAAAAAATTTTGGTCTTGGCTGCTTCAAACTCAGAGGTATGCTACAACATTTCCAAGTGTAGTCGTCTTCCTTTGCCTAAGATGACTATAATTAGATTATAAGGTTCTTGTGGGCAGTGGTGGTGTCTTATATTTCCCTTCTATCTGTTGTGTTTGTTCACAATAACAAGTGCTTAAAGTACTATTTATATATGTACATATTATATATACAACATACATATTTAGTGAAAAGAAGAAACAAGAGTCAAAATGACTCAGCTATATAAAATATACTAAATTTTTATGTCACAATGTATTATATAGTTTGTTTTTAAAAGTTATGCTTAAAATTCACTATCTAAACTTACTTTTCATCTAATTTTCTCTCTCTCTCTCTCTCTCTTGACAGAGTCTCACTCTGTTGCCTGGGCTAGAGTACCCTGGCATCAGCCTAGCTCACTGCAACCTCAAACTCCTGGGCTCAAGCAATCCTCCTGCCTCAGCCTCCCGAGTAGCTGGGACTACAGGCATGCACCACCATGCCCGGCTAATTTTTTCTATATATTTAGTAGAGATGGGATCTCGCTCTTGCTCAGGCTGGTTTCAAACTCCTGACCTTGATTGATCCACCTGCCTCATCAGCCTTACAGAGTGCTAGGATTACAGGAGTGAGCCACCACACCCAGCCTCAGCTAATTTTTTCTAATTCTTTTAAGTATTTCTCAGTATCTTTGAGATAAAAGTAACTTACATGTATCTAACATTTCAATGTTTTTGAAACATTCTGTTAATAATGACAGCACTCACATTTAACTGATAAATATGTACCAGGCAATGTGCTAATTCTTCACATGCATTATCTCATTTAATTTTTATAATTTTCAGAATCTCTAAGATAAGCACCTTTATGGTCACCATTTGATATATGAACACAGTGAGGCTTAGAAAGTGCAAGTCATTTGCTCAAGGTACACGGTTTTTAGTGGTTAAGATACAATCTGCCCCTGGACCCTGGAGCCCTCCCAGTTGCCCACTGCACTGTTCTGCTCCACAGGGGCTACGTGTGCGTCTTTCAGAAACACCGTCTACCACTTGATCCTCCTAACAACTCGGTGCAAGGTAGACAAGGCAGAGCAGAGATCACTGTCTCTTCTTTAAATAAACACAAAACTGTGGCTCAAGAGTACTTAAGTCATACAGCTAATAAGTGGCACAGGTAAGGCTCAAACTCAGGTCATCTGATCTTCACACCAAGTGCCTTTTCTACCACAACAGGCACTATGAAACAAAATGATATGGTCTTGTTCTTAAATTTCTGGTTTGTTGTTGTTATTTTCCTTTTTATAATTTGCTTCAGGAAAGGACTTCATAGATAACTATTATATAATATTAATTATACAAAATTCTATCTCTGATTTGACCTAAGATGGAACACACCAAATAATCAGAACTTACTTAAGTGACATTAATTTTGCACAATGAACGAATATTTGTGCATATATTAGTAAAGAGGAATGAGACAAAAATCTTAGGAGTGACGAAGGAAGAAGTTATACTGATGCATAAAATTAAAACAATCAGAACTACACATATCAAATTGCCAGAAGGGAAACAAGAAGCATAAATCTAATTTATTGGGCCAATGTATTGAAGTGCTTGTGAAGAGTGAAACAGAACACATAACTAAGAGACAATCATAACATTACCTTTGGATAGCTTTTCTTTTGGCTGAGAGATAACAAGCGTCACATCTTCAGGTGCATTTTGCAATATTTCAATTGCAGTATGGTGGCTGACTCCCTCCAGACTCACACTATTCACAGATATTAAACGGTCTCCTGTATGAATAGACAATCCAGTGTTTTCAACAACAAAGAGAAATTCATTCTAAGTTTTAGCAAGGTCATCCCTTTCTGAGTATTTTTGTTTGACTTAAGTTCTCCTTTTGCCATCTTTGCAAATTCACGCTTGTTAGTGTCCAGAAAATTACCAAAATGTAAAGTACCTGGCTTTAAGCGTCCATCCAAGTCAGCTGGTCCTCCAGGGGTGATTGAACTGATAAATACCCCTAAATCCAGTCTTCCCATCTTCTCCCCACCGATAATTTGAAATCCTGTAAAATAGCACATTTAAAAAAGATCTTTACAATACTCCTGCTTTCAATGACTAATGATCAGCTTGCTTGAAACATAGAAATGTGGAGACTGTTGATATCAAATATGATTGATAACACGTGTTAGACACATCTTTGGCATTTAGTGACTAGTTGGGTGGGGTGATGGGGTTGTGGGTGGGCAGCCAGTATCTTGATTGGAACCGGGCTGGTGTCTCAGTGCCAGTGCTAAACTATAGACTTTTCTGTGAATTCTCACAGACCTTCCAGGATCTCACAGTGACTTACCTAAGCCATACTTTGCATCTTTTTTCAGGTTCACCAATGTGATCTCCCTTTCTGGTGAAGATACTACGCTCCATCTTTTGTGTAGTACATCTATTGAGAATTTAAAATTTTAAAATAAAATAAACATAACATGTTCAGGCACCAAGATTATCAGTTTGTTACAATTCAAACAAATCTTGTTAACAGATTGCTCAGTCACTTAAAATTTTTATTTTAAGGTTACTGGTATTGTTATCTTATATTTTTACAGTGATTTACAGTTTTAAAAATGACTGTATTATCACACTTATTCCTCACAAACTATTTCCTTTGCAATCAATATATTTCAGTTACATATGATTAAGATTAAATAAATCTCAAGAGGTTAAATGATTTGAGCAGGCTCAGTCAGCTAATACAAGAAAGAGCTAAACCTTTAACTTAGGTTTTCCGACTCCATCTCTTTCTGTTCCTTCACAACTGACTCTGAATTTGACAATGCTCAATATATTAAGAATTTCCCTCTAATAAATAGTTGACATTTTTATTTATCATTAGAAAATATTCTTAGTAAGTTCTTAAATAAACCAACAATAAGAAACTGGATCTATTTTTAAAAGTCCCACTAATAATGCCCTGTCCAGCACATCTACTCTCAAAGAATTTTCATTTATTTCACATTTGTGGAATAATCTCATGAGGTAAGTAAAGAGATTTTTAATAATTGTTTTGCAGATGAGGAATAACAGTTTGTTACTTGCTCAACATTACAGCTAGTATCACTGCCCAGCAAAATGCCTAAAGTCAGTAGTTGATAAATGCGAGTTAAATAAATTGAATGAATGTCAGCATCAGAACTAGAATTTACTTTTTCTCATTTCCATTAAGTTTTTTTATAAAGTAGGCTAATCATTCCAAAATATCTTAATTAAACCAATAAATTTGATGCTTAATTGCCATGTTAATCAAATTAATTCATCTACTTAGCAATTCAAACATTCATACACACACACACACTTCTTAAAGTCAATTACAATTTGATAGTTCAAACTGGTCTGTGTGTGAAGGTGGTGGTAGTCGTGGGGAGTGAGTTCAACATATTTAGAAAGATATTTTTGTAAATTGAATCTTCAAATTCAACTCTATATAGTTCAAGCATATTGAAGATTTCTGAAAATTAGAGATATGGCTTCACTGAAGTATACAGAATTTCATTAATCCTTCCTATGCATTTTTATAACAAGCAAATCATTATGAACACAGACCTCATTTCTGTTTATCAAACATACAACTACTCATGGACTTAAAATTGTATCAGTATATTATAAAACAAATAGTAATTCTGTTATGCAACATATATAGATGCTTAAATGATGTAAATATGGTACTTCATATTCTAGAAATAAAATCGTTTATTTTCAGAAAAGAGTAACAACAGTAATTTCCTCTCAGGAGTGAATTAACCTTTTATCTTAAGCACCATTTTAGTGCAAGTTTGCTAGTTCCCTGTAGTGTATATGATTCTATTCTGTTGTTTCTTTGACTAAAACTTAGTTATAATTAATAAGAGTAATAGTAATTTGGCATTTCTAATTAATTTATCAATGAGCTTACAAAAAATATCACTCCATAATGGTGTGAAGAGCCTAAATATTAGGTAGTCCTAAGCAAAAGCCCACCTACTAATTAATGCCTAGCTTAATGGGATTATCTTTAGCCTAAAATAGGTAATTAGCTAGAACAAATGCAAATTAACACAGAACAAAAACCATAAAATAAAACAAATAAGGAGGTTAGGTCACATGGAGAAATTGAAATCAGTACAGTGTTTAAGTGACCATATTGGTGAGGTGGTATGAGAGAACAGATAAAATCAAAGTGCTTTGTAAAGTGATGAAATGATAATATTGCTTTGAATTTCCATTTTCTCCTCTAAGTTTCAGATTTAACCACCTGCTGCCCAGGAATCAGGATCCCTAGACACTGATTAAATTCATCTTTCTACGGTACTTAATAAGTCCAAAGGCATGTAGTTCCTGGAAAAGCAAAATCTTAGGTAGTAAATATAGCATAAAATGAATGAAGGATGAGAAAACAGCCTGGGGGTAATCATGGCTCCTGAGTTGCTGTTCCTCATCCAAACTAAGAATGGAAAGATACTTAGCCTTGTTAGGTTGTAAACGTCATAATAAATCCACTGTTAAGTTGAAAATATCATAAGTCAAAAATGCATTTAATATACCTAACTTACCAAACATCATAGCTTGGCCTAGCCTACCTTAAATGTGCTCAGAACATTTACATTAGCTTTCAGCTGGGCAAAATCATCAAATACAAAGCCTATTTTATAATAAAGTCTAGAATATCTCTTGTAATTTATTGAATACTGCACTGAAAGTGAAACAGAATGGTTGATGGGTACTCAAAATATTGTTTCTACTGAATGCCTATCACTTTTGCACCATCGTAAAGGTGAACCATCATTAAGTCAGGGATCATATGTAGTTTGTGGTTTGGACATTACAGGAAGCAACATAACAACAAACTGAGCTAAAACTTTTCAATTGCTGTATAATAATCACAGAAAAACAAGAAACATTAAAAATATATTTTTTTTAATTCTTGGGTGAGTTTTACATTTTTTTTACTCTTTTAAAAAACTTTTAAATAATATAAATAATTTTTTTTCTTTCTTACCAGCCATATGCACTTGAGACATGCATGGCTTAATCTTTGAGACAGGCATATGCTACTGGCAGAATCAGCCAGGTAGGTTTTGCTCTTATAAAGGAAGATAAGTGTGTTTTTTGAAAAGTTGAGCAACTTTTTTCCTGAAATCACAATCAAGGGATTGGAATCCTTTCCACATGTGTTTCAAAGTGTGAGATTAAAAGACACATGATTTTTTTTCTTTTACCTTCTCTTTTAAGTTTTACATTCTTTAAGAATCTCTGGAGGCCATAAAAGGTAAGACTGAATTTAATACATTCATCCTCATTCTAAGTGATGAATAATTTAACGTTAATTGATGTTCACTTACAATTTGCTCTCAGTAATCTCAACCAGCATGAAGAACATTAGAATAAGAAGTCACGTATTCTTCTTATAATAAGAAGTCCATATTTAACTCATGGGCAAGTAATTTAACTTTTTGATCCTTAGTTATTTTATTTGGAAGACCATGTTTGCCATGCTCTATTATGTGAAAACTTGATTTTCAAGAAAGCAAGCACTAAGTTAGGCTACTTGGGCAGATTCAAAAGGAGTGTTGAGGAAAACATGGCCTTGTCTGGAAGGTGACTGGGGCACACCTCCACAGGAAGGTGGATTGGCCTTCCTATAGGAAGCAGGTGGGGAGATCAGGCTTCTAAAGGTTTAAATAGAGAAACTACTTTGCACGTTGGATATCCAATATAAATTCACATTCTTTCCCATCAGAACCTAAGTTAAAACACATTTCAAATTCTCATCCCTACATAGGTTATTATCCAGCTTCTTTCAAAAGTTTAGCAGGGAAAAATAACACCAAGACATAATTAGGCATTATCATACCAGAAGGAGGTCTAACAAGTAGATCACAGAGTGGACTCTGGAAACAGACTGCCTTCGTTCAAATCATGGTGCCACCACTTGCTGTCTTTGTGACCTTCTGCACAACTCAACCTCTCATTTGTGAAAGGGAAATAACATTAGTGCCCATCTCATAGGGTTGTTGTAGGGATTAAATGAGAGATAAACATAAAGTGCTTAGAACAGTGATCGATATATAGTAAGCACTCAATAACTGCTAGTCAATAATTATTACCATATGGACATACTAATTTTAGGTACATAGGTATTCTAAATTCAGTCCATGTAAGCAGTGTGATCATCAAAACCTATATAACAGGGTCTTAGTAACGTAGGCCCAAGTATAAGTTCAATAAATTTTTCTTTACTGATAGGCCCTTAGGTTTTTTGAGGACTGATACATATAAATATAAATTGAGATGGAAAAACCCCTCCTGCATTTGCTGTATTTAAGGCACTGTAGATATTTTTACTTTCTGACACAATTTTAATTCTAAGAAAAATTTTCCTTTCTTGAAGAAAGGAAATATGTGTATTTCTATTAGAGAATGAGAATTATACAAAATAGAACTCTGGTGTTTGACAGTTTTGACCAACAAAAACAGCAATTCCATATAGTTCAATTTACTCTCATACCTTCCTTTTGGCCTTAGCTATTTGGAAAATTAAAACTAAACTTATATCAAGTTTAGCTACATTAATAATTTTGATTAGCATACTTGCTTCTTTCTGAATAGGCTTTTGATTTTTTTAACTTTAAAAATCTGAGAGTAACACTGAGACATTTTTGGAGGAAAGTAGCGTATAGGTAATAATAAAACATTCTTTTCTACCCATCAAAATTGTTAGAAAGGTCAAATAAGATAATGTATAAGAAAGTACTTTGCAACCTAAATTCTAAAAATTTTGAAGCCACTGATTTTCAAGTCACTGTACATTTCTGGTCTTCTTTCTACAGTTTTGTTTCTTAGATTCCTTCTAAACTACCAATCTCAACATTTAAAGTCTTCAAATTCTCCCGTAATATTTAGGATAAGATTCAAAACCAGTCCCTACTTAGTTCTCAAGCTTCATCCAGGTCCCCATGTGCCTCCGTATTAAAACTCTTGTAGTTCCCTAAACCTGTTACCTTTTCTCATGTCTCCATGTCTCTGATCATGCTACGTCCTTGATCTGGAATGCTTACCTCCACTGTTCTGTCTGAATAAATTCTCCTTTCATTTCAAGATTCAGTTCAAACACTGCTTTAAAATAACTGCCTTAGTACAAACTCTTTTTAATCAAAATTGTCTCTCACCCGAACTACTATCTTAGCTTCCTGATTAGTGCCCTTAGCTCTAATTTGCCATTACTTTAGTTCATTAACAATATCCTAAAGCACAGGTCCCATCACATCACCACAATGCTAGAAAAAACAACTCTCCTTTGACTTCAGTATAAGGCCTGGATCTCTGGCCTTAAGGAAAGAATTAAAGACTCTTCATTGTTAGGTCCAAGACTATCTCATAAGGTAGAAGAAAAGAGAAAAGATGATGGAAATGAGGGGAAAAATATTTGGTAAACCTACCATTGTCTTTTAAGGATACTTGGGATGAAGCATTTCCAGAACTATGTATAGTCATTCCTGTGGTATAAATTAAATTATTAGACATTTTATAAGATGGTCAGATACTAGATACAGAAGTAATTTATTCTGATAAGTTCATAAAAATCAATAAAAATTAAGACAGCAACATCATCTTTTATTTATACTCAGAAAAATATGTCTTCCCACAATGGGCATGTTTATAATTTTAAAATCATAGTTAAGCATATTAACTTGTTTTGCAGCATAAATTTAAACACAAATATATTTTGATATATCAAATATGAAATGATGAAACTGAAATGAGTTTTGCATTTGTTCAAATTCAAATTGAATTCAAATGTTCAAATTCAAATTGAATTCAATATTCAATAAGAATGAATAATTTAAATTTAAAAAATGCAGAAATTTTTCCTTTTAAGAGTGCGTTTATCTGTTTTCCTATAAAATATTTACTACTCTCCTTCTGATATGTGATGAATTGTCAGATAGACCAAAGCCTTCCTAATGAAACTGACTTAGTATCTATGAGATCCCATTTTATGTCAACATATTTTGAAAAGTATTTCCTAAAATATGAGGCTGGGTGCAGGGGCTCACACCTATTAATCCTAGCACTCTGGGAGGCTGAGGTGGGAGGATCACTTGAGGTCAGGAGTTCGAGACCAGCCTGAGAAACACTGAGAACCTCTCTCTACCAAAAAAGAAAAAATTAGTGGGGCATGTTGGCACACGCCTGTTAATCCAGCTACTCGGAAAGCTGAGGCAGGAGAACTGCTTGAGCCCAGGAGTTGAAGGTTGCAGTGACCTATGATGATGCCACTGTACTCTACCCAGGGTGATAGAGCGAGACTACCTCAAAAAAAAAAAAAAAATTGAACCAGTCTCTTAGACTATTTTCAACATATAGGGTTACCTATAGGATGAAACTGTGCATTTTATCTGTTATTAATAAACTAATATTACTTTCCATAAACATTTAGTTACTATAATGTAGAGTTCTTTTATGATTTAATTTATTCTACATACTCCTAATCCAATTATAGAATAAAAAATACTTTTTAAGTTTCTGTTATTAGGACTAAATTAACAAATTTTGGGTTTAAGGAGAGAGTTAAGTAGAGTTAAGTTAAGCATTTGGTATAACACCAGAAGGGGTTATCCATGTTTCCCTTTGTCTCCTATGCTGTGTCATACTTTGGGTAGTAGTTCAGATTTCTGTGCTTAAATATCTACTCTTCTGAAAGAGCGACTCCAGTGTATTTCCCTTTTAAGATGCACAAGGCAACAGGAAACCTGAACTATGTATCTTACAAGGTAGCATTTTAAATAATTAATAGGCTCCAGCTTGCTGGGAGAATTTGAAGAAATGTAAATCAACTAAGAATTTATACCTACCAACCTATAGTACACTCTATAAAATTATCTAAGTTTTTAGAGATAATTCTGTTCAGGCTCAGGTGAAAGCATCCTAAATAAACCTTTCTTCAAAAAATATAGCATTACCAGAGTCCACTCACACAGGCTTGTAAGGAAAAGTCAAAGGAGGGTGATCCAATGCAATGGTGTAAGACTGCATTCTCTGTATGACTGTCATGGCTACCATGACCAAGAGGAAACAGAGGAACAGTCTGTGCCATTACTTGTTAATCACTTGCTAAGTCAACTGTTGATTTGGTGTATTTTAGGTAACCTAAAAGTTTATATTCACAGTTTTGGAAGTTAGGACATAGAATCCAAAATAATTTCTGGATAATTAACGTGATTTCATTTACTTCCCTCTGAGCATGAGGTACGGGACAAAAAAGGTAAGCTTGTTTATGCTGACCTAGAACACATGCTTGACCAGGGTCTTCAATGGATGAGGAGTCTGATTCATGTTTCCTCCTTTCAGGACTTCTATTTAAACTTGCAACAGACTTTGAACTAAAGAAGGAAAAGGAAGGTAGGAGGGAAGTGTCAATGCAAAAAAAAATATGGTGAAAATAATAAAATGTCAAAACAAAACCAAATGTATGAAATGTATAATTTACAAATATGTAGTCTGTGTAAGTCAATCATATTCTTACTTATTAAGTTTTGTGAATCCTGCCAAAGATTCTGTATCAGATCTTCCCATCTGGTGAAAAGGTTTTCCCACCAGCTCCGCAATGCTTTGTGGTGGGGATTCCATGTTAACAATGGCATTTTTCCGATGAGGATAGAGAGAGGCCTGACTGAGATCATGGTATGATTTACTCATCCCTTTGGGCTTTTCCTCCCATGAAGCTTTGTCACTCTTCTCTTTTGAATTGTTTTGCAAGGGCTGGTAAAGCGACAGCTCAGAGCAGGATAGCCTCTTCAGAATCTCAGCTTGGACTGACAAAGGTCGAACGGCAAGTTTGTTCAGGGTGCTGCCGGCCAGACTGCCAGTGCTGACTGCTCGTCCCATATTAAATCCTCTAACGGACTCTGCTTGGAGATTCAGGCTCCTAAACGAAGCTCTCTCTACAAGGAAATAGGATTGCTTTACATGATGGAAACACCGCAGTACCTTTATGAGAAGAGTTACTTTAATAAAGAAAAGACAGCATGCAGTTTTTCATCATTTTGACTGTCAGCATAAGTAGCTTCCAAAGTATGGCAATCAAGGGTTTTAAAGAGGAGGTTTGAAGATCCTGGTTTTCGTACCATCTCTCCATCCTTTCGGCTTTCAGCTGCAGCCGACTCAGTGTTTCCTACTTCATTTAATGATTCTCTTGGATCCAATAATATTTGGGCCTCAGGCTTGCTGACCCCAAATTCCTTATAGGTTTCTATTAGAAATGAGAATGACATTTAACAGAGAAATTTTCAACCCTGGTAGTGTCTCCCTGCTAAAATATCAGCAAACCAAGGATGGAGAGAAGGAGAGATGAAACCTGGATGAGCTGACATGGTGAATACACACCTGAAAAAGAAGCTGTGCAGGAGTTTTGCACAGGGAAAAAGGTCTTGATTATTATACTTTTAAAAGCTTAAGGCCGATTGTGGTGATGGCGAATTGTACACTTTAAATGTGTGAATCATATCTCAATAATGTTACCCCCAAAAACCTCTTAAGGCAAATTATTTGTTATTTCACTGCTATGCCACTCTCATCTTCCTACCTTGCTTATTTAATGATTTAACTGAGGCAAAGGAGGCATGGGAGAACCCAATAGTACTAATCTCTCTGTTTTGGTATCTGTAAATTAATATGATCAGGGAGACGGAGATCTCTTTATGCTTCAATTCCTCTCACTCCCAAATAAACATCTAAAGTCTTCTTTTTGAGGCTAAATTTAGAGATACTTTTTAATAACAAGTGCTTGGCTATTCTGTTTTGTAAGAACCAATATCATATTAATATTTTAACGTTTAGACTATTAACAAAAGCATTGCAGCACATGTAAAAAAGGATAGAAACAGAGAATTTCTGATAATTTAGTTGTTCATGCATTTAGTAACGCACATCACAAGGTACTCCCTTTGACCCCCCCCACTGGAAGTAGTAACCCTGTGATGGAATAAATCTTGACTACCATGTAAAATAGCAGGGAAAAGTTCTCTTTAAAAAGAAAATGACTCCCTCAAGGGTCCCAGGTTGAAAAAAAGAAAAAGAAAAAAATGATTACTTAGATCTTTAGGTTCTGTTTCATTTATCTTCTAATTCCTAGGAAGATTAATAACTGGTATTTCATCTCAATCATAAGCAGGTAGGAAAACATTGAAGATTTGTAATATTCATGCATATGAATCAATTTTAAATAAATATGTCTCATTGTCACCAGGAAAATTCAAAGTTCTTTCTCTGAAGTAGAAGTAGACACCAAGTTAAAACAAGACATTAAAATGCAAGGCCTTAAAAAAAAGACATTCACTTAAAAATTCCCAGAATCATTTTTAACTTAAAATATGGAGTATTTCTTAGAGCAGGTAACACTATTTCTATTTTCTTTTACTTTGAGAGCACCTTTAAAGAAGCAAAACAAAGTCTTATGAAGATTCAATTACCAGGAAATGCCTTTACACCCAATAGATTTTTTCATCCTTCAGAAAAATGTAGACCAAGCCTTAGATAAAATAAGGACAGCTGGTTTAGTTTAGGTTTTGTCTGTTTTGTGAACATATTAGGAATTATGCTATTCAAATCCATTCATAAGCCTACTCCAGGGTAAGACTTAAAATACTGTATATACTCATGGGATGGGATCATAAACCATCCACTTACCTGGTCTGTCCTACTTACTGCCTTTTACCTGGAAAGGACTTCAATATGGATCAACAGTATGGGAAAGAACATTAGAATGTGCCTGTATCCTAATACTAAAATGTTCCAAATTTGGACACAAAGGCTTACTAGTTCTACATTCAGTCTGTAATCCATACTTTCTAATCTCTTCTTTCTGCTATTGTTTAGTCCCACATGTTGTGCTTCCTTATATTGTCAACTTAATCATATTCTGATTAAGGGACTTCACTTATTCTGTTATCCCACAGTATAAGTGATTATTAATCTTAATTTATTTCAATGCAAATCAGTTCTTGGGAAAACTCATCAAACAGAAACTATACTAGATTAGGAATTAAGACTAGGTTTCTAGCCTAGGGTGACCTCTAACTATAAAGTTAGGGTGAAACACTATCTTCTCTGAACCTGTTTCTGCTTCAGTAAAATTTTGGACTTAGTGACCTCTAAGGTTCTTTCTATAACCAACATTCAATGACTCTAAAGAAGTAGCATACATTTGTTAGCCCATAAATTTCCTATAGATAACCCCAGTTATTTTTACTTGTCTAGTGCACATAGTTAAACAGGCATTGGTTACTTCTAAGCCAATTTTAAGTAGGTAATCATTCCTTTAAAGGTTCAACAAAATGTGGGAAAAGATATAGATCACACCATCTTCAAGTACTTTCACATATGAGTTCACACATACATAGCTGTTGTGATCCTAGTGGCAAACCTGTGAGATATGTAGAGCATTCCCCCACTTCATGGATGAAGAAAATGAGACTGCAAAAAGTTAGTTACTTTCCTAAGGTCATTCATCTACTACTACTGCTGTTAGTACTACTACTACATAGTATAGTGGTATATAGTAGTATACTATGTAGCACACAGTATAGTAGTAATATCTTCTACTATTGCTGATACTACTACTATTACTATGGTAGTGGTAAAACAATGTTGTTGATGATAATAACAATAATGAATATTTACTGAATACATTCTCTGTACCAGGTACTTTTATTTTTTTATTTATTTATTTTTTTTTTTGAGACAGAGTCTCGCTTTGTTGTCCAGGCTAGAGTGAGTGCCGTGGCGTCAGCCTAGCTCACAGCAACCTCAAACTCCTGGGCTCGAGTGATCCTTCTGCCTCAGCCTCCCGAGTAGCTGGGACTACAGGCATGCGCCACCATGCCCGGCTAATTTTTTTTATATATATATCAGTTGGCCAATTAATTTCTTTCTATTTATAGTAGAGACGGGGTCTCGCTCTTGCTCAGGCTGGTTTTGAACTCCTGACCTTGAGCAATCCGCCCGCCTCGGCCTCCCAAGAGCTAGGATTACAGGCGTGAGCCACAGCGCCCGGCCTGTACCAGGTACTTTTAAAATGCTCTACATATATGAATTCCTCTATACAACCTTATGATGTATGTATTGTCACTATGATAATCATTTTACAAATGGAGTAACTGAGCCAGAGAGTTTAAGTAGCTTTCCTAAGGTTAGGGCTTCTAAGTGATAGAGCCTGGTTTGAAACTTGCAGTTTGGCTCCAAAGCCCATGCTCTTAATTACTACTATTCTATATTGTTCTTCAGTATAAGAAATGTCAAAGATTGAAGGCTAGCTTCATACTTCTGTCTTCTGACTCTCTTCACTATACCACATCTGTGATGAAGTAACCTTCAATTGTTCAATTCTGGTTTGTACTGAATAGAATATAAGTCCAAGTAGGAATGTTGATGACACTAAGAAGCTTTATCTTTCACTATATTTTATAATTATGTAAGAATATATAAATATCCTAGCAAAGCAAAGCAGAGAAAGAAAAAGAATAATGAGATTACTTTATAGTAATGGTGATTATATTTTAGCATGCATAAAAATCATTAATGAAAAAAGCCTGTTAAAATGCAGATTCTAAGGACCCAGTTCCCAAAGACTGTGGTTCTCTAAGTTTCAGGTAGGTTCCTGGAATCTTCATTTTAATTATGCATACAACTCCCACCTCCATCATGATTCTGAAAGGTTACAAAACATCCATTCATAGGTTGCCATGACCCCAGTCAGATTCTATGGGGAAAATATTTTCCTTAAGATTTCAGAATGTGAGAAATTTTGGATTAAAAATTTATAGGGCTGTGCTGCACAAGTTCATCTGTGCTATTCCATTAAATTTTTAATCATACAAATCAGAGTGTTTCGTTTAAGCCTATAAGAACTTATGCAGAATTGGGTTTTATTTAACTTTAATTGCAGAGTAAACTTTAAATATTTCAGTTCTGACTAAGATATTTTTTGAGAGCCAAATCAGTTTCTTTTGCTGGATCCTTTTTTCAAAAGAAAGTGAAACCACTCTTCTGACCGTTTATAATGGATACTGTGGTTATTCATCTCAATCTCAGAATAGAGATGCATTCAGGTAAAACTAACAGGTGGCAAATCTGCCACCCACATACACGTATGGTCTGTCTCTTCACTCACCTGGATGCATATCCCTCCTGTCCTCTGCCTTGTTTCCCATGTTCTTTCCCTCATCTGGAAAGCCTTTCCATTTATCTCCAACCTACTTAAGGTATTTTTGTCTTTCAAATCCAATTCAAGTGCCATCTTTCCAGTACTCTAGCTTCTGGCTTCTCTCTTATAGTATAGGTCAAAGTCTGTATGATATAATCTGTTACTAAAATCTTGAACCTCTATTATGTATTACTGTTTCACATATGTTGGTCTTACCTTCCCAAATAGTGTATAAGTTTACTGTGGGTAGATGTTACATGGCCCAAACTTTTATAATGTTTACATTATAAAATAGACATTTCAACAGGTACTGCCCAAGTGAACTGGGGTGCTTTTCTCAAAATGAACACGAAATTGAAACCTCAGCTTCATTTGTGACGCTTTTATAGCCTTGACTTAGTCATTTCACATGTATATACATTGTAAGTTTTTATCCTAAACATGGTAGTTCTTTTAAAATTTGTGGTAAAAATTGTGCATATACCCTGGCGACATCTAAAATAGTCTGCTTCTCCTTACCAATATCTTGGGCATCTTGGTTGCTTTGTCTTGTTCTCATCTGTAGCTGGAACTTGTGCTGGGAAGAGCAGAGGTGCAGCAGGTACTGGCATACCTTACTGTTTTCTGTCTGGAAGGCATGTTTTATTCCATCTGATGTATTTTGCAATGTGATTTTCTTTTTCTACAATATTAATCAAAGGTATTCAAAATTAGAATGCTTTCCTATAACTTTTTTACAGGACCAAATACTATAATCTATTAATAAGCAGAGATATTATTTATATTTCCCAATATTAGGCATTGGGTATTTTTTTGACCTACATCTCATATAAATATAGAAAATACAATCCTATATAGTCATGCATTGCTTAGCAATGAAGATACATTGTGAGAAACATTGTTCGGTGATTTTACCATTGTGTAAACATAGAGTGTACATGCACAAATCTAGATGGGACAGACTACTATGTACCTAGATGATGTTATAGCCTATTGTTCCTAGGTTACAAACCTGTACAGCATGTTACTATACTGAATGCTGCAGGCAACTGTAATGCAATGGTAAGTATTTATGTAAGCATATCTAAACATTGAAAAGGTACAGTAAAGATACAGTATTACAGTCTTATGGGACCATTGTATACATGGTCCATCATTGACTGAAACGTCATTATGTGGCACATGACTGTATTACAAACAAATTCAGGAAATAAATTAATATTACTTGCCACTTTCAAAAATTGTAGTCTAAATCAGATTGTATATACCAGCCATCAGCAAGGGAAACAATTTCCTTTAATAAGATTATTAATATTTTGAGTTTATGGCAATGTTTATAAACACCAAAACTGTCTGAAAAAAAGATGATAAGAAATATGTTTTCTACTCTATTGGTTAAAAAAAAGCCCTGAAGTTCAATAAGAGCTTTATAAAAAATAATATATAATGATTAAAGCTGTGATTTAGTTAAGTAGAATTTGGGTAGCATGAAGGTTGAACAGAAGTTGTGGGAAGTTAAAGAAAAACATGGGAATGGACAGGTATTGGATAATGTAACTGTTGGGTTGAGAGATAAAATGCATTGGTATTTTTACCAAATATAGGGAAAGTAGGAGAATCACAAATCAGTTTTATCTCTCTGATATTTCTTGAAAAATAATGTCTCTTATGTGAGAGGGCATCCCCAAATTTGTGACCCATATGGTAAGGCTTGCAGATAATCCAAATGCCTTAAAAGACTAGTGTTCAACATGCCAGGGATCTAAGACTGATGTCTCTGGAGAATCGTTCAAGTCCAGTCAGATTGTACTTAAGCTCATGGCTACTTTGCAGACTATTCTTGCTTCTTCACATCCCTTGTCTTTACTTTGCAGAAATAGGCACAGAAATGTCAAATTTAGTAGGCTTACAAAAGATACAATAACAAAATATGACCCAAACTTCAATCATGCAGGTATCACCTTCATAATTTCTGGTCTTGATTATTTAGAAACTTTTCAATTGATTTTCCTTACTTAACGAATTCACTTTAAAGAAACTTTATAACACTATAAATAGAAAAACTAATACCACTTACCATAAATAGAATTTGACTAAAAAATAAATATAATAAATGTAATAGAAACAAAATAACATTGTTAAATCTACCTAGATCCTATGGCCAATGAAATCTCTAGGACAAAACCTGTTTTCTTTCTTAAAAATGGTAATCAACCTGAGCAAGAGCGAGACCCCGTCTCTACTATAAATAGAAAGAAATTAATTGGCCAACTAATATATAGAGAAAAAATTAGCCGGGCATGGTGGCGCATGCCTGTAGTCCCAGCTACTCGGGAGGCTGAGGCAGGAGGATCGCTTGAGCCGAGGAGTTGGAGGTTGCTGTGAGCGAGGCTGACGCCACGGCACTCACTCTAGCCCGGGCAACAGAGTAAGACTCTGTCTCAAAAAAAAAATGGTAATCAGTAAGTGTTAGAGAAGAGTTAAAGACAAAGTAGCTTTAAACGAGTATCTTGATAATCAGTAGTATACCTAGTAACTCTTTAAACAGTTGAGGAATCTTTTTTCTTAACAAACATACCAGTTAACCATTGTTAAATAATTTGCAAGGACACTGAACTCCATCCACAGTTGTAAAACTCTCTCACTGGTCCAAGCATTAATACGAAGGACAGAATCTTTTTAGTTTATCGGTCAATGGAACTACAGAACTGGCACCTATAATAAAACACCCAAAGGCAGGAACCCAAACATGCCAAAATGCCCAAAAAATATACCCAAAAATGCCAAAAAATAGGTTAGAGGTTCATAATAATTATGAAAGGTGATACTATGGATGATTTAATATCTAAGAAAGATGTGTGTGTTTGAAAAAACTAGAATACTCGATTCTAAGTGTTAATGGATGGACTGGACAGGAGATATGCCTGCAGGAACTCAACTGTGAGGGATGAGAAGGCTGAAGGGTGACTGTTCTCTGTCCCCAGAAATTATAGAAGCCAAAAAAGAGAGCTCTGTGTTAGGCAAAGAACTTCAGGCCAAATGAATCCTGTTAAATACAGGCATAGTTTACGACGGAATGTGATCTATTCTCAATTACTACAGATCTTTAAAGACGAATCATGGCTAGTTCTATGTATAAAGGGGGTATAGTAGCTTTGGAATGACATAGAGCTGAATGCTGACTGCTTGACTTGTTGCCTTTTTCAAAAGTTGTCCAAATTGGATTTGTACTTAAAGTTTCCTTTAGATACTAGCTCTGCCAGTATTTCCACTGGGGGGAGGCAAATTAAATTCAGGTAATTTCCTGGTCTTGACAATCTTGGGAAGATAAGAGTAGTATGGGCGTTCCAAAAGAACATATTATTATCTGGTAATCTGAGTGGTACCTCTTGGTTTCGTAGGAAACCAAACAACTAACCATTAGGTCTAGAACTGATTTCAAAGGTCTCTAGGTTGGCCGGGCGCGGTGGCTCACGCCTGTCATCCTAGCACTCTGGGAGGCCGAGGCGGGTGGATTGCTCAAGGTCAGGAGTTCGAAACCAGCCTGAACAAGAGTGAGACCTCGTCTCTACTATAAAACAGAAAGAAATTAATTGGCCAACTAATATATATAGAAAAAATTAGCCGGGCATGGTGGCAGATGCCTGTAGTCCCAGCTACTCGGGAGGCTGAGGCAGCAGGATTGCTCGAGCCCAGGAGTTTGAGGTTGCTGTGAGCTAGGCTGACGCCATGGCACTCATTCTAGCCTGGGTAACAAAAAAAAAAAAGGTCTCTAGGTTGAAGACTATCCAGAGTCCTTCAGGACCTTGATATCTTTATAAAATTGTTCTGGTGAGAGCATATTTCAGCCCAAATATGAACTAAAGGTATCTACAGTCTCTGAATACCATAAGAAAAAAAATATCAAAACATATTTTTGATTCAACCTCTGGGGTTTGCTATTGCTGCTTCAATGTTCAGATATCCCAACTATAGCCTAAATCAAAATATGTTGTTATAGCTGTTTCACAAACATATTTTCTAAAAATCACTTTTCTAATTTTATCTCTATAGACAGTATATACTAAAATCTAAGACAGAAAGTCCTGGGACTAGTTCATAAAATCCAGTAAATCTCTGGACTGCTGAGATTTAAATAACAGCTGCTATGAGGGATCTGCTATTGAGCTAGACAAAGTTCATTGGAGTTAAGATAATTATCTATCTTAAAAACATAAAGGGGATTTCTCCATGTAATAAGTTATGATTATAATAAGTTAAGTCAGAATAAGTTCTGACTTAACAGAGAATTCAACTTGGTTGTAATTTAACTAAAGTTAATTGAGCATATAACCAGCTAGGAATGTGTAATACTCTTTTAAAAATCACTTCTTGAAAAAAAACACAAACAAATAAAATCTCAGCAATACTTCCTATTAACACAACTAAGAAGGAAGAGTTAAATTATATTAAGATATATTAGCTCTACTGAATGACAGAGTCTAAAGGATACTTAAGTCAGTTAGCATGCCACACTGGAAATCAATAACATTCATTTAAAAATATAATAAAAAGAGGTCAAATGGACATACAGAAAAAGAAATCTTCTTGGTTTCCCTCCATGGAAAGCGAAGGACCAATGTGCGAACTCCATTGTGAACTTCAAACACAAGGACACCTTTGGAACAGACTCCAAGCAATATTCCCGTTTGTGACTTTTTCTCAGGGTGCACTCGGTGAAAATGAACTCCATATTCTGTCAGTCTTTGGCAGACCTGTTGGAACAATACCATACCACAGCGATACATTTTGGTAAATGGTGACAAAGATACCGAAGCTGTACCAGGGTAGTTTAACGTGGAAAGGAGAGGCTTCAACAAGTGTTGCTGCAACAACTGGATATCTACATGTCAAAAAAAATAAATCTCAACCTTTACTTCACCCTTAACCCCAAATGATTATAGATCTAAATACAGGAGCTAAAAATATAAAGTTTTAAAAATTTTTGTGACCTTGGGGTGAACAAAAATTTCTTCCATTTTTTTTTAATGAGAAAAAAGTATACAGATTTATTTAATGTGTATAAACATGGGAATCATATAAAACATGAGACCCAAAGAGGGGCCACATGGTTGAGGTTTCAATAGCCTCCTATAAGGGAGAGGGAAATGGGAGGGGATGTTGCAGGTGATTTTTAGAGGGAGAGTAAATGAGTTTAGGGAAGATGAATGGATTTGGAAGACAGAAATATTATAAATGTTTCTCTTTGGAATTTGAATGAGCTGAAGAGGCAGAACAAAGTCCTTCCAGGTGCAGTTACATTCCTTAGTCTCCTTTCCTAGGGTAGATAATAAAATTTCAGGAGGGGACAGAAGGCAATTGTGTTATCTTTGGTGGGTCAGATCTTAAGGCAGCTAAGGGAATATTAAAGTAAAATTTAAGCTTGTGCTGGGAGTGGGAGGACAGGAGAAGTCAGAATGTCCTTGATTCTGTGGCAGCTTCTAAGGCCTTTCTATTTTAGTTCAGAGCTTAGCAGGCCATGCTTTTTGGGGTATTTTTTCTGAGAAACAAGAGTATACATAGTAAATATGCATACATATGCTCCTTAGCTTTTAATGGGGTTACCTCCTGATAAACCTAAAATGCAAAAATGCATTTAATACCCCCCAAAACCCCATTGTAAAGTTGAGAAATTATGAGTGGAATTGTCATAAATCGGGAACCATCAGTACTTTTAGTAATTCAAATGAGCAAAAGTTTCTTAAACAGGACATAAAAAGCATGAACCATAAAAGAAAAAATGGAAAACTTCATTAACATCAAAAACTTGCTCATCAAGAGTCAATGTCTGGCCGGGCGCTGTGGCTCACGCCTGTAATCCTAGCTCTTGGGAGGCCGAGGCGGGCGGATTGCTCAAGGTCAGGAGTTCAAAACCAGCCTGAGCAAGAGCGAGACCCCGTCTCTACTATAAACAGAAAGAAATTAATTGGCCAACTGATATATATATAAAAAAAAATTAGCCGGGCATGGTGGCACATGCCTGTGGTCCCGGCTACTCGGGAGGCTGAGGCAGAAGGATCACTCGAGCCCAGGAGTTTGAGGTTGCTGTGAGCTAGGCTGACGCCATGGCACTCACTCTAGCCTGGACAACAAAGTGAGACTCTGTCTCAAAAAAAAAAAAAAAAAAAAAGAGTCAATGTCAATCAAATATAAAGGGAAGCCACAGACTGGGAGATAAATCAATGTAAAACATATATATTATAAAAGGCTTGTATCCAGAATATATAAAAAGAACATGTACTTTTCAACAGTAAGGAGACACATAACCAGATAGAAAAATGGGCAAAGGGTTTTTTATTAGATATGTCAACAAAGAAGATATATGAATGGCAAACAAACACACGAAGAGATGCTCAACATAAACAGGAATGAGGAAATACTAATTAAAATCATAATAATATACCACTACTCACACAGGTCAATGCCTAAAGTGAAGAAGACTGAAAATACCAAGTGTGGTTGAGGATGTGGAGCAACAGGAACTCTCACACACTGTTGGTAGGACTGTAAAATCGTGCAACCACTTTGGAAAACAGTTTGGCAATTTCTTACAGAGTTAAACATATACACACCTTAGGTCTTAGCAATCCTACTGCTAGGTAATTACTCAAGAGAAATAAAAACTATGTTCACAGAAAAATGCATACTGGACTATTCATAGCAGCTTTATATCTATTGCTTAATGAAAGAATAAAATTGTGTGTCTGTACAAAAAAAAAGTACTCTGCAAAAAACTGTCGAGGTGGTTGCCCAACAGTATACATTTTAAAAACTCAATTGGACTGAACACATAAAAGTGGTAAATTTTACTGTATATAAATTACACTTCAATAAAGCAGATTTACAAAAAGTTAAAAGTATTTCAAAGGCAATACAATATACAGCATAAGTCTAAACTTACAAGGTGGTGTTAATAAGGTTAAAAAAAATTCTTAGGTTAGAAGAAAGATGCTAAAATTAAGGAGAAAAAGGGTAACAAGATATATTATTAGGAGCAGGGCAACATAATATGCATTAGGCATGCTATTTACAGGGAGAAAACTGAAATTCAGAGAGGTTAAATACATTGTCCAAGGTCACACAGCTAGTTGAAAGAATTCAAATACAAGACTGTCTGCCTGCAAATCCCCAGATTCCTTTCACTGTGCCAATATGCCTTCTACCATTATTAATAAAAATATAACTTGATATTTATTATAAAAATAAAAATGTGATAACTAAGGAAAACATAATTTCATAATATTTTTAAATTTAGACTCAAACAAAACCAACTACCTTGCCTTTCTTACCATGAATCCTAGATTAAAGGTGGTTTAAGTCTGTGAATGAAACCCCTTCGTAGATTTTCATAGGGCTGAGAAAGCTGGCTCCTTTCAAATGGAGCAGCAAATGGAAGGCATGCTGTTTACAACCTAGGTAGCTGAAACAAGAGAATGTTCTAAAAGTTTCTCTTTTCAATGGAACACTATCTTATTATATCTGTTATTCATATTGGAGGTTTACATAGTGCTATTTTTCTTGATGACAAACACTACTATTTATCTGAGGTATTGTAGGAAGCTGATGGCATAACTGTAACCATAAATCAATTTTTCTGACTTCCTACCCCTGTGTGAATTAGTTGGTAGTTAGTGGAAAGACCATTTTCAAAGGGTACAAATGAGTTTTAAGCCTTTTGAGAAAATACAAAACAAAACAAAACAATTTTAGAATCAGTGTGAACTTGCCTCTCATATCCAGTCATTTACCAAATTCAATTGTTTCTTCTTTATAATGCATCTTGATTTTGAGAGTATGGAATAGGATAAAAGCATAGAATTTATAGCCAGACAGATATGGGTTCAAATCATAGTTTTGCCCCATATACTAGCCATTGACTTTGGGAACATTACATTTCCTCTTTGAGACTGAGTCCCCTCTTTTATAAAATGAGAAATAAAATACCACAGTTTCAGTCAGCAATAAATAAGATAAGATAATGCCCAGTTTCAGTTATGGGCACTTGAGCTTTTATATATGCGTCCTCCAACATTTTTTGTTTATTTTGAAAAAGATATAAAGCTTATCATTCGTAATCCTTCATGCTTACCTTTAAAAATTCTAACTCTGTTTCTTTTTCAGAAGCTCCCACATAGGTATTGTGTAATTTGGGTAACTCTTCTTTAATATAGGATAAATCAAGTTTCTCCATTACTCTGGCAGGCAAATAATGTTCCAGTCTAAAATAAGACATACCATGAACCTAAAAAGGAGAATATTTTTGTAAGCAATTCTGTTTGCCTTTTATTGTAATAAACTCTCTTCCTCCTATCTTAAAGTTTGTGTTTCAGCCAAGAGATAAAATACTTTTACATATTTCTACTTTTCTCTCTGAGGAATGAGTTTTAGAGGAAATGGACCAGTCTTTTGGTGAAGTTGAATGACTCAAATGATTAGGAAGCTTAAGGAGAGGGAGGAGAGTGACATTCAAGAGTCTCAAAACTAGCCTCAAAAATCTCCATATCTAAACGTCAAACACCTCAGCCAGGTTTAGTCCTTAACTACACCAAATATAAGAGCACCAATACAAAAGTGGTCCTAGAGAAAAACATAAATCCCACCTCTGGTTGATAATCTCCATACTCAGCCTGGAGAGCCAAGGATGCCAGCAATAAGGAAGTCTCATCATCACAGTGCATCCTCTCGTCCAAAATATCTTTTCGCAGCTGAAGGTAATACTGATGACAGGTCAGAGTATGTCTGGAAAAAATAAACATACAGATAAATATCTAGGCTTTTTATCTCAAATATTAAGGTGATTTTTGTTATAGACATGTATGTTTAGTTTCCAAGATGGTTTATTATTAAGCTTGTTTTTAAGGCAAAAGGATTAAATAAACTATGTTGAAAGAAATATTTCTTTTATGATAAAGAAGATATTATCATTGATCAGAATCAAATAATTCAGTTATCAATAAGCTAAAGGGTTAAAAGACCAGTGGTCAAAAAGAGCAAAAGAGAAACTCTGGTGTACTCACTGTATTAGACTAATATCATCCATGAAAAATTTAATTCGGAAAAACAAAGTAAAATTAACAGTAGCTTTGCTCTTTTTCTTTGGTTCTTCTTTCCATCCCTCTGGGGCCACTTTGGTTAATTTTAAATCGGGATCAACAAAGAAATATTCATTATCTAAAACAGAATCAGAAAAACATTCAGATAAAGTAAAAAATACTTTAATGTTTTTTTTCTGATTTCTTCATTTTTGGCCAGACTTGCACAAAATAGTATGATACAAGAATAAAACAAGACTGTTAAGAAGTATGGCAGGGAGTTCTGAGGCACTGCATATTGAGGGGAGGCAATATGGCTTGATCTTTTAAGAATGGGCCAGATAGATTCTACTCCTGCCACATCACTTATTATCTGTATGACACTAAATAAAATTATTGTGTCTCTCTAGACATCAATTTTCTTGTCAATAAGATAAGGACAGTGATAATTCTTGTTTTATAGGGTTATTATAAAGATCATATGAAAATGGATAGAAAACACTTGGTAAAGCACATAAAACATGGTAAGCATTCAATAAATATTAGCTTATATTTATTATTGATCTATCAGCTGAAACCTAGGAGGAATGACAGTTATCATTTTATTTTTATTTTTCAATGTCCTCTTTTAACTATTATTGCCTCGCCAAATAAAAAGATTATTCAGGCCAGGCGAGGTGGCTCACGCCTGTAATCCTAGCACTCTGGGAGGCTGAGGTGGGCGGATTGCTCAAGGTCAGGAGTTCGAAACCAGCCTGAGCAGAGTGAGACCCTGTCTCTACTATAAATAGAAAGAAATTAATTGGCCAAATAATGTATATAGAAAAAATTAGCCGGGCATGGTGGCACATGCCTGTAGTCCCAGCTACTTGGGAGGCTGAGGCAGAAGGATCGCTTGAGCCCAGGAGTTTGAGGTTGCTGTGAGCTAGGCTGACGCCACGGCATTCACTTTAGCCTGGGCAAGAAAGCAAGACTCTGTCTCAAAAAAAAAAAAAAAAAAGATTATTCAATAAAATCTTCTTTGTCCAGCATGTTTAAGAAATTACGTTTATTATAAATAGAAATTCTGATTAATTGAATATCTTTAGTATTCTATAGTATTACCTGATTAGTCGAAAAGTGAAATTAATAAAGTGATAGAAATCAGTAGGTACTACCTAAATATTTACTAGATGACTTTAAAAAATGAATTACTGGCTGGGCGCAGTAGCTCACGCCTGTAATCCAAGCACTCTGGGAGGCCGAGAGAGGCAGATTGCTCAAGGTCAGGAGTTCGAAACCAGCCTGACCAAGAGCAAGACCACGTCTCTACTAGAAATAGAAATAAATTAATTGGCCAACTAATATATACATATAAAATTAGCCAGGCATGGTGGCACATGCCTGTAATCCCAGCTACTTGGGAGGCTGAGGCAGGAGGATTGCTTCAACCCAGGAGATTGAGGTTGCTGTGAGCTAGGCTGATGCCATGGCACTCACTCTAGCCTGGGCAACAAAGTGAGACTCTTGTCTGAAAAAAATAAAAATAAATAAATAAATAAAATGAATTATTCATTTTTAAGGCACATGAATTCAATAAGCTATGGTGAACAAAATATTTGTTTTATGATAAAGAAAACATTATGATCTTGTAGAGTTTCAGGATCGTTTGACCCTTCAATTGTCATTTATGGTACTTTGTTGTCTAAGCTTTCCAAGTTAAATTTTGAGGTGAACAGGAATCTAAAATATTAAAGAGTAATTTATAAATATAATGATTTATTAAAGAAAGAGTTTCTTATTGCTATGGCAACTATAATTGGTAAATAGGAGAGATTTCTACTGAAGCTGTGCTCTGAAACTACGTAGTTGTGAATGTCACGAAGTTAAGTGGATGCAATGGTTAAAAGATATATGAAATGACTAATTTTTAGTTATCAACTATCATTTTAAAAAAGACAATATGGTTTTAGGATAGTGGGCTAAAGAAATTGATGTGGAAATTCAGAAATAGGGTCCTGCTATATATTAATACTCATATTAGGATACTAATTTCTAGAGTATATATATATATACATATATATATATAGGCAATTAATATAAAATGGTTCCTAAAATATAATACTTAAAATCCATTTTTATATAGCCATAGCCAAAAAACAAAAACAAAAAAACACTTCATAGTCAGATACAGAAGGTACCTAACAAACACAGCTATTAAAATACTGCACATAGTTAGGAGAAGCAGGGGAGTTCCTAACTCACTTGTGTTTCTCAGTGCTGACTTGTTTATTTAGGTAATATTTCCCAAAATGAGGTTGGGCATAATAACAGGTATAGGAAGTCTGCTTACTGCCAAGTTTCCCTAATATACTCTGAATTTAAAATGTCTTGGTACCTTTGAGGGTAGCTAAAGCAAACAAATGATGCTCCACTAAGCCGATGTGGGCCACGACCATATCGAACACATCTTTACATATAGTTTTGGTATCGCAGGTCAGTTCCAGTCTCTGCCCACTCAGAAGCATTATGTTTACTTTCCTTCGGTTATCCTCATTCTTCCCTTTCTTGGTCTGCAATTGAAAAAAATAAGTGGCATTTATTCAAATAAGCATTATAAGAATTTTAATTGGCTTTTAAAAAACCGAATTACTGAAATTATTTCCTAAGAGTGACACAAATTGGTTTTATTACTTACAAGGATAGACCGTGGCAAATCCAAAGATATAAATGGTTCAATCGTCATTTTCACAAACTCAGGGCCAAAGAAATTCTGAAAATCACATAAGTGGAATCAATAGTTTTTAATATTTATTCTAGCTCTTTCCTTGAAAGGAAAATAATGCAATAATAATAAATTACATATAAAACCGCCACATTAGAACTAGGTGATCTAAAATAAATGCTGAAACTTTCAGTGAAAAAGTGTACAGGAATTTAATGAGAACAGGAATGGAATGTACCTTATGCTAACATTTAACAGAAGTTTTCCTCATCTATGTTTTTTAACCAGTGATGTCAAATATAATGCCTAACTTTATGCTGTTTTAAAGGATTTTTATTATTTGGCTTCCAGATAGACTCAGACTCTCACAAAACAAATAGTACTTAATTGAAGTAACGTAGAGTTATCAAGCTCGTACAAGGATTTGGTTTAATGTTGCAAATGTCTGAAGTGATCCAGCAGAATCTTATTGTTTTAGAGAGTGATATTCAATCTAAAACAGGTTACAGTTAGAGAACATCTACTTTGTTACTATAAAAATATCTATCTGTAATCATTTTCTTAGAACCCTATGACATTGCACTTTGTGTTTTAAATAATGACAACTAGGGATAGTATATGTATCACATGTAGTCTCTGACCCCCATCAACGCCACAAGCAAGAAAAATATCTCATGAAATGAAGGGACAGAGAAAGTCGGAGTCCACGCTCTGCATTTACTGATTCTCAATCTACCCTTTCCCCTTTCCTTTTGTATTATATATTCAAGGGTTTTGGTCAGAGGAAGGAACTAGTTTAGGAGATAATTTTAAACAAGTTAGACTCTAAGTGGGAGCACGGTTGAGAAAAGACTAAAAGATTATATCCAAATGGGCAAAAGGTATAATGAAACAAAGACTAATCTTGAGGCCAAAGGCAGGCAGTGCATGTTTGCATGTGTTTGAACTAATGGTGTTTTGTTTTTATTAGTTTCTTCTTTGCATTTGCTTGTACAGCTCATTTGCTTGCTTGGTGTGGGAATTCAATTAATTGAGGGTGGAACATGTGACAGATACCACTTAAGTAAAAGTTTAACATTAAGGGTTTGTTAATATTCAATGAACCGAGAGGACACATTTTAAACAAGAATAGAAACAGAGTAGAAAAGGTGAAAATGGTCTGTTATGGGAAGACCAGAATCTAATAATGATCAACTAGAGCAATAGGGTATGAAAAAGTTAAAATGTGTCTATTCCCAAAGGAAAACAGGAAGAAAACTATAAAGGTATAATCTATAATTTTAAATTACAAATGTTCTAGGTTAGCTGTCTAAAACTAGTTTGATGTGTATATATGTGTGCCTTTTATGCTGCTCACTGAATTATTAGTAAAATACCCCAAAACTAGAAGAACAGACACATTAAAAAATCCTCCCACAAGATACAAGATGCAGACTTGCTCCTACCTACTTTTGGATATTATAATGTGAGGATATTATGCTTAGAGCTAATGAAATCATCTTAACTATAAAATAAATTATTGCTAAAATTTTGAGGAGGGTAGAGCAGCAAGATGGAATGCACTTGATCACTATTCTAGAGCTTCTCAACCAAACTTGAACTTTCTATCTCTGATCTTCTCAATTTGTGGGATAATGAATTTCTTTCTTTCTTTCTTTCTTTCTTTCTTTCTTTCTTTCTTTTTTTTTTTTTTTTTTTTTTTTCTATTTTTAGTAGAGACGGGGGTCTTGCTCTTGCTCCAGCTGGTTTCAAACTCCTGACCTTGATCGATCCTCCCGAGTCGGCCTCCCAGAGTGCTAGGATTACAGGTGTGAGCCACCGCTCCGGCCATGGATTTGCTCCTTTCTGAAGCCATTTGGAGAGGGTGAAAAGTAGGTGGCTGGAAGATGAAGGGAGGAGTAGCAGGCAGAGTCTTACAAAAAAAATTTCCCCGGTCGATTGGACTAAGAAATTTGGGGAAAAACTAAAGGGAACTGATCTGCATGCATTGACCTATTACAGATGATTTAGGCAGGAAATTCCCAAGAAATTCAGGATAAAATAGTGGAAAGGAAACTGGACTGGGACAAGTTAGCTGAGCAGCTTTGTAACTTTGTGCAGTTCACCTTGTCTGGGAGGCCCACTCAGTCTGGTGGCTGGAAGATTTACGTGGCTCCTATGGATTCTAAGAGTTGACATGTGTGAGGCTGGGAATGAGACTTTTAAAT